GGATGAGCCATGTGGGAAGACGGCTCAATCGGGGGTTCGGTGACTCACTGACTAATCTCCACGTGATGTGGATTATATGAAGATGTTAATGATTGTGAGTGCTGGTGATGTGCCATTTGTGTGAACTGGCTGCGTGAGCATGATCAACTAAGTCGAATGACCTAGAATTGAATATGTTTTTGTGTGACTGCGTGTGTTGTGCAATAATTATTTCTCCTTAGAAAACTCACAAGTCTTGTTTAATTTTTCAGGAAGTAAGTTTCTCTTTAATTCGGTCAAGCTATGTTCCTTTGCTGCAAGGCTAGAAAGAAAATTTTACTAGTTCAATAATTATTTTGCTATGTATCTAGATGTATAAAACTCTATGTATATCTATTAGTTAGTGACCCGCAGTTGTAGGATTTGTATATTTTTAGTCGTCTATTATTATAGATTAGATAATTATGTGAGCCCATATTAGAAATGTGATGTTTTGTTAATTGGGCCGAGATGTAATAAAATCTTGAGGTTTATCTTTTTTTTCTTTTTTTTTTTTTTTTTTTTTTTTTTTTTTTTTTTTTTTTATAATCACATGGGTTGAATGTTGAATTTTATACCGAGATAATAGATTCTAGTGTTTCAGGCTTACTACGGGCCTCGGAAGCCTTAAGCTTACCTGGGCCCTAGTGCCGGTCCGACCCACTCGGAAGCCTTAAGCTTACCTGGGCCCTAGTGCCGGTCCGACCCACGAAATCGGGTCGTGACAATAAAGTACTTGTTTTGTGAATTTATATTTTTATATATGTATTTATTTTAATTGGATAAATAAGTTTTCGAGAATTTTCATTTGTGAAAATGTACCTCCGAGAGCGGAATTCCATTTTCAAATTATCCGATCTGCTTAAACAATCCCGAAATGTTTCCATGCAGAAAACATTTTCAAAATGCAAACCAGCAGTCAAAAAGAGTTTCCATGCAACACATTAGAGTACCATATGGCTATTTTCAGAGTATTCAGCAAGTAGAGTGAGATTGAAGACTTCTAAATTAATTGCCTATTACCCATTAGGCACTATATCTCATGCCATTAAGGAGTACTTGAATTCTCCGATCAACAAGTTTACACACGTATATACCCCATCTCTACGTCTCCTTTTAACAATAGTTAATCATCTTTGTTCCATAATATTTATCACGTATGAAATTTTACGTCCTTTAAAAAAATTATTAAATTTGTTTAAGATATAATAAATTATTGAGTAAATTGACTATATTACCTTTATTTTATACTAATTCTCTAAGTAAGTCATCAAATTATTGAAGTAATAATTATTGGTTATATATAAAAGGTAAATATGAAAAATGAATATTTATTACTCTTTGAAACCACAAATGTGACGAGTATTTTAAAACAAATTATTTTCTCAAATATGGGAAATATTATAGAACGGAGACAGTGTAATACATCTCTAAAAAAAAAAAAGAGAAAAAGAAGATAGGCTTCTGCTAAGGATTATTGTCTAGGGTTTTGGTACATTTAATTAAGGTTGGCAGGATAATATAACTTTTGGTTTCTTAACTTGTTAAAGATTTTTTACTTTAGTGTGTGAACTATTTATTAACCTTTAGTGTGTGAACTAATTTTACTTTTAGTGTGTGACTATTAGTGTGTTACATTTGAAACCAAAAATGTGAACGAGTATGTTTAATTTTAAAACAAATTATTTTCTCAAATATGGGAAATATTATAGAACGGAGACAGTGTAATACATCTCTAAAAAAAAAAAAGAGAAAAAGAAGATAGGCTTCTGCTAAGGATTATTGTCTAGGGTTTTGGTACATTTAATTAAGGTTGGCAGGATAATATAACTTTTGGTTTCTTAACTTGTTAAAGATTTTTTACTTTAGTGTGTGAACTATTTAAAAAAAAAAAAACCCAAATAAACATTCATACTTATCCAATGAAATAATGGTTTCGATCATGATTTCCGGTGATATGTATATTAATTTTTTCTAGAAAAATAAAATTTGATTCCAAAGCATCTTCTTTTGAAAAAATTAATGCAAATTTAAAAAAAAAATCGGTAAATTTATTTTAAATAACTTTTAAAATGCTCGCATTTATATAAACAATAAAATCAATTAATTTTACAAAATAATCAAATAAATTATTATTTTATTTTTTCTAAATGTTATTAATTAAATAAATTATTATGTTATTAATTAAATAAATTATTAGAATATTTAAAAAATTGGCTTCAACATGTAACTTTAACTAAGTAAATAAATGTTATTAATTAAATAAATTATTAGAAATATTTTAAAAATGCTTCAAACAATGTAACTTTTAACTAAGTAAAATATTTAAAAGGAAAAAAAATGTTAAACTCCCATTTGTATTAAACATTATAATTATATACTAAATTTTATAAAATACGCTAAGTGATTATAATTTTAAAATAAAAATAAAAAATCTTTGGTTCAAATCGGATTGGAACCGCCAGTTAACCATCGGTTCCTAGCTGATTCAAGTTCAAAATTTACCATTTATATGAACCTTAACCAGCTCTTGAATCGCCGGTTTCAGTTCAAAATTTTGAATCAAAATAGGCTAAGTGATTATAATTTTAAAAATAAAAATAAAAAATCTCTGGTTTAAATCGAATTGGAACCGCCGGTTAACCATCAATTCCGAGCTGATTCAGGTTCAGAATTTAACATTCATATGAATCTTAACCAACTCTTGAACCGTCGATTCTGATTTAAAATTTTGAATCAACGATTTCAATTTGATTCTAATTCCTCTATAGTACAATTTGGTTACAGTTTAATTCCGGTTCAAATTGAACCGATGCCCTTGTCTATCCATTACAAATTCGCCCCTAATTGTCATAGATGAATCAGTGTGAACTAGTGGAGAGAGAATAATAAAAGTATTCTGAAATAATAACTATTTCAACTATCTAATATATCGTTCTATTTTTATGAATTAATGTATTTAATAAAATAATTTCATACATTAAATATTTAACATGTTAAAATAAAAATCAACAATGTCTAGGACTAAAATAATTAAACTGAAGAGCGAATTTATATATTTAATTAAGTAATTGACGTTGATGTCTTTCTATTTATTCAATCAAGTAAATTTGCTCTCTAATTTTCGGCCGCTAACGTTATCATCGGTAATACTGTTGTCAGTGCTTCAATTTTTGTTTTTTAGTTAAATAAAAACATCTGTCCTCTTTTCCTTCCCAAAGCTTCGTCAGTAACACCACGTGGCTCCTTTGTAGACGCTCTTCAGGCGGCTTACAGTTTACTCCTTGTCTCTTGGGGACACGTGGAAGTCCACGTCGCATCCTAGAGATCTGTGCGTGCTTGTCGCCTAACGCCTGGTCACAAAAAAAAATTGACCGTTCCGTTTGCTACCTATCGCCACGACAGTGTTACGCCGTTAAGGCTTCGTTATCTCACCAGTCATCACCCACTTTACTGTTTGCGTCGACTGAAATTGACTACGTGGCGTAGGTATACTGACTCGGTGGGGCCCGACTTATATTCTTTTTGGAGGAATGGGATCCACAGGTTGACACGTTTCAAGCCATAAATAGAAGTTGAAACTTGAAAGGTTTGGGAGATTCGGATGGGACAATTAGCATTATTGATTTCTTTTCCTCATAGACGACTTTATCCTTCCACATAAGAGATTTTTGTAAATTTATTTAGTTGATATTATTAATAATTTAAAATTTGGAAAAATGTAATGTAAATATTAAAATTAGAATAAGAGAACTAATATATTTTAATTTAATTATTAGTTTTATTGAAATTATAATTTATAAATGTTGTTATAAAAAATTTAAAAATGTCGATTATAACTGCATAGTATTTTTCTTCATTTAACCAAAAAAATAAATTTAACATTTTCATTTCAAGTGAAAATAAAAATTGCCTTTTGATATACTTGTGATTAGTGAGAATATATACGTCTAAATATGAAGATAACGAAATTTTTTACCTAAATAAAATTAATACCAACAAAACAAATTTCAAAAGCACTCTAATGTTAATTTGAAAATATTTTTTTTCCTTCCTTTTTAGATATATAATATTTACTTTCAAAAAAAATATATAATTCAATAAATAGTGATTGATTTAAGTGAAAATGGAAGTGATTCTAAAAAAAAACTCTCCAGCTCCAATATATAAATCATTTTTAGATAATTATTTTGTCTTAAAATATAGGTGATTTTAAGTATTTTAAGGAGTAATAAATGATATTTTTCAATGTTACTCTTATTTATATTAAATACAATAAATATTTCATAAGTAACTATTAGTTTTGAGATAAACAATAATTTGATCAAATTACTATTGACTTTGTTATAATATAGGAGAACTAATTCATCCTTAATCATTATGTAAAAATTTTAAACGATTTATATTTTTGAACAGAAAGAATATATAATTATATATTTTACATATTCTATTAGTTAGTTAGCTAATTTTACATATATTAGTTAGTTATTAACTATTAACTATTAGTTGGCAGCTAGTAGTTGTTCATGGAGTTGTTTAAATTAGAAGTATCAGGTTCAAATAATTATTTAATTAATTGTTTAATTTAAAATAAAAAAAAAGACGTCAGTAGAGAAAAATTTAATAGATATGATTGTTAAAAAAACTTTAATTAAAAGTTAAACGCTAACAGTAAAAGTTTTAAATATTTAACGGTTTAAAGTTCTCATAATATCTAAAAGCTACTATAAAAAACGAGATATCCTAATCTCTAAATGCTATTATAAAAGTTGAGATAAGATTTTGATCTGGTAAAAATAATAAAAACTACGTTTAAAAGCTAGCGTGTCGTAAACCATGCCATGTTATTTATATCCAATTAGATCTCCTAATAAGTTGGAAAAAAAAAATAGAGGGGTAGTTTCGTCATCATAAGTAAATGGAAATTGACGATTGACGATTGACGACATTAGGAAGATAAATAGGTCTCCCACTCCAAGTGTCCGCTAACCCCTAAGTTTATCAGCAAGTATATTCAATTTCTTTCTTTTCTCTTCCTTCAAATGCTTGCTCTGCGTACACTCTTCCTACCAAATTGTCCTGTCAAAGATGAAAGTCATAACTCATAAATCAAAGAAGAAGAATTAGAAGGTCTCTCTTCACTTGGTAATTCTCTCTTCATTGAATTGTCTCTTTGTTGGTTGTATGTTGTTCAAATTTTGGGAATTATAGTTTGAATTCTGTTGCTTTGCTTCTTCTCCTTCCTCTTTCTTTTCCTTTTTCTTGTTGCAATTGTAACTTCTTCGATCATTATTCTTAGGTATGGATGACACTTTTGTATCTGAGAATGCATGCATGTATATACTATATAAGTGTGAATATTTGTTTATGTTATGCATGAATAAGTGCATATCATTGTTTTTCTTGTTATCCAAAATATTAGAGATTAAAGATTCCATGACAACAACAAAGAAAAAAAAGGAAAAAAAAAAAAGAAAAGAAGAAGAAGAGTAAGTTAATTATCACATGAGGTTATTTTTGCTGAGATTTTTTTGGTGATCCTTGAAAGGTTATTAATTTTATTGATTTTATATCTCATTTATGAGCAGTGGTCCTTATACCTGTAATTTATATTTAGAATCCCACTTGTATGAAGGAGTTATGAAGTTGGAATTGTACAAATCAATGGAATAAGAATTCTTAAGGGATAAGATGTGTTAAAATTCATGTAATTTAACTTTTTATACTTTTATGTGCAATATATTGATTCCCAAATGTCTCATATCATATATTTATTTATTTATTTTTGGTTTGAATAGCCCGTCTTTTAGAAGATTTTTTTCATTGAAATAGCACTGGAAAGATACATCTTCAGCCAAGTCCTTGCATGTTCTTGCTTATATTTTTTAGTTAATGGGCTTAAGAGGCTCCATGATTTATTGTTGTGATTGATAGTCTATACTAAATCCGATAGATAGAGTACATGAAATCAGTGCTAACTGGTATCCTTATATGTATAACATATTCGCGCTGCACTATGCCCAAGTGACTTCTCAGTACATGGTTTTTGTTTTGGTTGTAGGTAGGCGGCAGATCTGGAAATTTTCAATTTCATATAGTAAGAGGCATGCAAATGAACTCTGATGACAATAAAAATTCAAAATTATATTTTAATAGCAATAGTATTTGTACACCTACTTCCAAATCTTGGTGGCATAGCATCGGGCATAATGTTGTCTTCTCAGACATGGTAGAGGAAAGCGCAGCAAAATTTTCTCTGTCAAAGTACATGGATGGTTTTGTGGGGAAATCTAGCAAATCACAAGCTAACTATCTGTTGGAAAAGGGAACTGATGCTAGTAAAGAAATGTTCACTATTTTGCCACAATCAGGTAATGTTGAGTTGTGTGTATGAGACTTGTCCTATTGAAATATTTTTAAATGCTAAGCTTAATGGACATATATGAGTTTAATTTGGTATTCAGTCTATCATCAGCTTCCATTTAATTGAGATGAAAAGAGTTAACTATCATGACTGAGAATGATGGTGAAATCATTATTAACTGATCCAGCAATTTTACCTTTTAGTTTAACAAGTTTTCTGTTTTATTTATTTTTCTGACAATCATTTGATTGCTGGCATTTGTTATTATGCATTTACAGACTTTAATGGAAATAAATAAATAGGAATTCATCCAGAAAGAAAATCCGTGTCATTGTAGATTATTTTTCCAAGATTGGAGATTGGCTGGCCAATGCTATCTGCTCATATTTTAACTATGATTATATGAGATGCTAATATCTCCTGACTGGATCAATACTACTCTAGTGTATTTTGAGATGATATATATCCATGAAGTATGGCAACTGCGTGATGTAATTTAAATTTTGTGCAGCCTATGCATTCATTCATGTGTGAATTATTTTTCATATTATATTTGCACATGTAAGCATGCATATGCAGATTTGCAGTGTGTGAATGCTTCCTTTTTTAACTGTATAAATTATTGTGCATACATATGTGACTCGCATGAGTTGAATGCAAGAAGAAAGGAAGTATGCTTAAAGTTGAAAGCATGTCATGAATCGATGGCTATTATCAGTTTTTGATCTTATTGAAATCCTGAAAGGACCACAATTATTGGTTTGGTTAGCTTCAATTTTATCTTAATTAAGGATAGTCTGAGTGCTGACTTTGTTATATATTGTTCTTGCAATCACATAGCACAACATTGTCTCTGGAATTTTTGGTTTTAGGGATCCTTTATGTATATAGTTTTGACCTTCTGCAAAACTACAGTACCATAGCTGTTAAAAAGCTGTTCATTTAATTACCTTATATTCCCTCTCAATTGTCTTACATTAGATGGCTGGTTTTCTGAAAATAAAGAATGTTCCTTGTGACTCTTTGAGTAACTAGTGACGGTTTAAATGATTCAATTGTTTAAGGATGGCTAGGCAGAAGATATATAAATCTGTATTATGATACTAATAGCAATATTCTTTCCATTGACAGATGGGAAATATGGAGAAGAACATCCTAACTCACAGCATTCTGTATCCATTATGTCTCCAACAATGGTTGAATGCCTTGCGCCACCTACCCAACCAGATCTTGATGGATACTACTCATTTGTACTTCACTCTTCTCCTGTCTTTCACTTGTGCATTAACTCATTTCCATTTCGTTCCATAGCTATTCTTCTGCATTTGATTTGGTTTTATATATATAAATTTAAAATAGTATTTTCTTTGGTATGTAGCCTTCTTTATTGAGCTTTACCGCAATTTCTCTGTAGCAGCGTCAAAGTTGAAATTGAATTTTTTTTTTTTTATCTCTGGCATGTGTCTCATATCCATTTTCAGATCCGTAATCCATTATGCCAGGAAACTTTACCTGTTCATGGACCTCAGGCTCTGGAATGCAACTAGGAGCAAATTTGAATTTATATAAAAATCGCTTCCTGCTTGGTCTGATATGGGTTCAGATGCCCAATTAGTTTCAATTTCTCAGTTAATGTAAGTGTTGTTTCACTTGGATTTTGAATTCATTATGTCATGTAGGTCAATAAGAATGCGTTTCCTAATAGAGGGTGCAAAGGTAGAAAAGAAAGATGGTTGACTTGTACTTTGTAATTTTCTATTGAAGTTTGTAATGGAGAAGAGACTCGCATAAAATAACAGATATAGCATCTAAGCTGAACAAAAGATTACTAGCAGATTAGGAGCTGCAGAACTAGTTTTGGCATCTTTTTCGAAACTTTAAATTAGATGTGTTGGCTGCAACATATGCTAATAATATTATGTGTCTTGTCACCATAATCTTTTTACAAACAGAAAGCAACAGTAAGGTTGCTTTTTGTGGATTGGAGGTCACTGGTTAAATCCATGTAATAGTGTAGTGCAATGCTGTTTCCACTGAAGCTTTTGAGAGGGTGAGTGCTAGGATAAGTGTTTCTGTAATTTGACTCTGATTTCATCTGTCTGATGCACATTCAGAGCTTGTGATGTGGGAAGCTTCTTATACTACACTGGGATAACCCATCTGTGTAGGTTTTCTATTTGCTTTTTTGAAGTTTGGATCACCAAAGTGTGTTGTAGCTCGACTTGCAGAAGGTGCTGGAATCTCTCAAGCTTGTTCATTGGCTGAATGAAGCTTTATAATATTTCTCTGTATCATGAATAATTTAATTTGAAGTTTGGAAGTCAGTAATGTGAATCTTCTTGTTTGTCCTTTGTCTTTCTCTCTCCACTTGCACACAGCACGATGTACTCTCATACATTTATTTCCTTGTACATATAGTGGCTTCTGATGTTTCTAGAATAGTGGGTTAGATATTCAAGCCAATGGTGTTTTCTTGCATATTTGGGTTATGATCTGTGGCTGTTTAGTGCATATCTATTATTTGTTTGGTTGCATAAAGATATTCATAATGTAATATTACTTTATTTTTTGGATATAATTCTCATTACACAAAAATTTATATAATCATGATTAATTATTAATCATTTTTACTTTCACCGTACCATCAGAGCTAGATAAACTCTAATTATAAACATTATATAATACATTGATTTTATTTCCAACTACATAGTAGAATAAAATGTCATTGCATTTGATGACTGTTCCTGTTAAATTCTTGTTTCCACAGTATCCTACCAGACAAAACCTACTATGTTAACAAACATGTATTGTATTGACCTAGGTTCATTCTCATCTCGGAGCCTATAACACTAGAATGGTGTTGCCCCTTGAGATGACAGAAGAGCCTGTTTATGTTAACGCCAAGCAGTATCATGGCATTTTAAGGCGAAGACGATCACGTGCCAAGGCTGAGCTGGAAAAGAAACTAATAAAAGTTAGAAAGGTATATATTTGTGCCTGTCCATCCATTTTTAAGTTTAGCAATTTTAGATTGTACTAATTTCATTTGGTTGCATGCTTTTTAGTTGCAAATTTTGCATAAGTTTTGTGGTATGGTTAAAGAAATTATCATGCTATTGGCATGAACAACCAGGAATGCTCGATATGAAAGCTACTGCATACAAATTAATTTCATGCTTTGATTTTGTTTTTATTTGGAGAAAGGGATGGGGAGGGGTGGAGGAGTTGTAGGTTGCACTTATGTTTTAGCGTGCAAATATAAAGCTTAGATAACATAGATAAAGAGAGGGAACAAAAAGAAGATGATGGGAAAAATGACGAGTTTCATCTTTGTATTTTAAAGCTGCATGCATGGCAGTCATTAAACAGGAGAACTGACTAACAATTGATATTTTGCTATTATAAGATAATAGTGTTGCCCTGTAAAACATGAAGTTGTTTTGTGTGTATTCTATTTCTTTTCCTGGAAGAATAGACTTATGAAACTTTGTGAAGTATCACTCTAAGTTATACTTGAAAACACTTAAATTAAATCAAAACAAGATATTCCTTACAATCTCCCTCTACTCCAACATAATCTTGATAGTGGGAATGTTTTTTATCCTCACACTGTTGTTTCTGGGGTGCTACAGGTTTAATATTTTCTATTGCTCACTTAAACAATTGGTGGTAAGTAATGGTCTACCTAGGCTTTTTTTTTTTTTTCTTTTTTTTTAATTACTATTGGGTAGTTCTTTGATAATCTGAAGAACTTTTCTAATATTTATTGTTCACTATTGTGTTTCTTCAGAACAAATGAAAACAGTGGAAGTAGTAGTTTTTTGGCCATATCATTTTTGTATTTTACTTGTATGTTTTTATTTTTATTTTTATTTTTATTTTTTTTTTATTATTTTTTTTTTCCGGGGAGTTTTGTTAAATATAGTTAGCAATAGTGCTAATGAAGTGTCATGGAGAGGTGATTCATTAAAGTTGAAGGAACTGTGGCTACAAGGACTGAAGCAAAACAGTTAAAAAAAATTAATAAAATAAAATAAAAATTAAAGCAGCAAGTGAAAGTATGCTAGTCCTTTGGTTGTCAAATTGGAATAGGCAAGCCAATGGATCTTCCAAATTGCCTTGGCACCTAAATGGTATCTGAAGGGCATCTTAAGAGACTAAATAAATATGAAACAAATAAAAGAAATCTGCTATTGTTGTTTGCATGATGTAGCGTCTATACTGAGAAAAGAAAAAAGCAAATGTTGTTTTATGGTCGAATAAAAAAGAATCAAATAAAAAATTTCTCCCCTTATCGGATTGGGGAAGAGGTTTGCATCCTTCATATGTTTAGTTCAACTGAACTTTATACATTTACTCAGCTAGAAATCCTAGTAATATACTCCAAATTATAGGAATTTGTGTAAGATAAAGATATGGCTTAACATTTGTGTTATGTGGTTTATAGGCAGGCACATGCTTTTCAATCTTTTCAATTGCGTCCTGATCATTATGGTTTGTCTATGGTATCATCAAATTATAAACAATAGATCACATTTAATTGGCATTAATTTCTTGGGAACTTTATGATCTTCTCGATGTCTAGCATAAGTTTAATTTTTTGACTTGGAAAGAAGTATAACATTCTCTCCATTTGAGGATATTGCTTTAAGTTTTCTTGTTCGAGTCCTAGCTCTATCTAACATTTCCCATTTTGTTGTGTTCTCTATAGCCTTATCTCCACGAGTCTCGACATTTACATGCTCTGAGGAGGGCTAGAGGTTGTGGAGGCCGCTTTCTGAACACTAAGAAGCTTGACAACAATGCTCCTGACAAGGTCAACAACTTCAGTGAAACTGTTGCAAAACCTTCCATAAACTCATCAAGAGCAACACTTGTGCCTGTCAACTCTTCCAAGAATGCAGATTCATCAACAGGTAATGGCACTATAACAGAAACCTATTTACATGAACAAATCCCACAGCAAACCTACACTAGTGCAAATAGTAATGGGTGCTACCAATACTTTGCTGAATTTCAATTATCAAAACATCATTCTAATTCAGACAGGATTGTGGAAGAAAGGGATTGCAACATGAAAGCATATTGGTGATTGGACAACCATAAGCAAGTTTTATGCTGACCACTCCATGCTTGTTTCCTTATTTTTAAAGATATTATTAGGTTTTCCTTCTCATTTGGTGGGGTATCAAGTATTAACCTTCGCCGGATCGAGGATCCACAATTTATATATATTTGTGGTCACAGGCAAATCATTCTTGGCTTTTACCTCTGGTTCATGTTCTTGGAAGTTGTAAATATATTTCTACTTTTGCTTCTGCTTAATCTGTTATCTGCATGCATCAATAGGATAGAAAGTGAAGACATGCAAGAGATTACCATTTCTGTTCTATCTTTGTTCGTTCCCTTTGAAGAAAGGAAGGATCCCAAAGAATCGATCTTTCTTTTAGTTGTTGAATCTATCTTTGATTGATCAATGTGTGATATTCCGGTCCTTAATTTCAGCAGTGTTCTACATTTTGGGCTTGCATATTGTCTTCTGATTGTAACAAGCATTTGCCTGTATTATTTCTAGTTCTGTGTTTCTGACCTTACAAAAGAAATATTTGATACTTTGTATTGGTACTTTAAATTGTGTCTAGTTGTAAGAACTACGAATAACATTGCATTCCATCCTGGAGAGGTATAAATATTATAGGCATTAGAGAGCTTGTGTGTCATTTAACTACGAAATATTTTCACTTTGATGGGATTAATTGTCAAAACACGTTTTCATCCTCTTATCATATCCAACGTCAGTGGCCATGGCTGTTTGCCATATTGCTCTAGACGAGGTATAATTTTTGGCTTAAAGCGACGTGTCGTCTTGTTCTTAAGTTTCCTGGTTTTTCAATAACTTAAAAGATTCGCTAAATATTTCTGGATGCTCAGAAATTAAATTATGAAACCAACACACAATTCTCAAATATTTTTAATTATATCCCTTTAATTTTCAAAATAATAATAATAATAATAATAAATTGGCATCTTACACAAATAGAAAACCAATTAAAATCTCAAATTTGAGAACGTTAAAATTCAAAAGAAACATTGTTCCAAGAAAATAGAAATCAAAGAAAAGATGTGAAAATTGTGCAAGAAATTTATTTACAATTGATTTTTCTTTTTGAAAATTATCTTATTTTGAACGGGAAAAATAAAGAATGAATTTCGTTCTCTCGAATAAAAGAAAATGATCTTAAAGGAACTAAAATAATTTTGAGTTGAAAACCATTAAACAAACAGGATAGGCAAGTATTATAAACTAGATTTTTATTAATCATAATTCAAAATTAAGATATTATTTCATTAACTGAATACAATTGAATTCTTACACATAATTTATAATATGAGAATGAGAATTTTGAAACTCTCGACCGCAATTCCAAAAGCAGTAACAAGCATATTTTGCTGTAATTGCATTTCCAATGCATGTGCCCCCAACTTGGCCATGTCTTTGATAGCATTTTTTGCCACAATCCTCAAGTGTACAGCCACTTGGATATAACTTTTCTTGGCATCTTTTCTGTGCATTTGCTTCTGCCGCCATTGATGCTCCTGCAACAACAGTATTATATCTTTAATTAGAATTAATCAAAGAGATTTAAAAAGAGAAAGCGAAAGAAAATAGTTTTTTCACATTAAAATTTGCCATCTCAAACCTGAAAAGATAAGGAAAAGGATGAAGAAAAGGTTGAAGGAAGGATTTGCCATCTCAAACAACTTCTTCTGCCTATTTTTCTCTCTTGGATTGTAGAAATACTTTGTATCAAGAATATTATGTATAGTGCTAGAGTCATTTATGAACATTATTTTATATAGTAAGAAAGTTGAAACAAGAAATGCATAAAACAAATTAGATGATTTCATCTCAAAACTATTAGTATTGTGTGTTAAGGAAACCAAATAACAAAAGCTTTCAAATCCAAAATTAAAAACATAATTTGACATATATTCAATTTAAGGCATTTTTCGGTAATAACTATTAACGTAGTATTTAATGTTTTGACGTACAGGGAAGAAAACGCTTTCTCCCGAATATTTAAAGATACTCTATGTTCAGGACTCAAACTCGAGACCTATGGTTACGGCTGAAAGGATTCATACTATTCCATCTCATACTCCGATTAATGTGTACTGAAATATTAATAAAATAGCTAACAACCATTAAAACAATTAATTATTACTAAAACATCACATTTTAGGATTAAGTATAGAAGAGAATCACAAATCAGATTATGATGTTGGACTGACTAATCTTATCCTTAATACAATTAATTAAGGAAATCTTGTTCGATTATATATATATTGTATTCATGTTGGAGGCTACTAAATTTGTAGAAGAGGAAGAAAAAGCACGCAACTCCTCACCCAAAAGTTGGACAAACGTCACCTCTCAGTTTTTAGTTTTTTAGTGAAAAATAGTAAGACTTCTATGTTTTAAATTTTAAATATTACTTATTAATGAATAAACAAAAGTTTAATCAATATATTGTTAGTCTGAACTATTCTTTCCCTTCTCAAATAAATTTAAATTACTTATAAATAATAATTTAATAAAAAAAATTTTCCATTTAGGATGAGCTACACTCCATTTTTTTGGTTTTTAAACTAAGAATGTATTTTTCCTATTCAGGCAAGAAATGAGGTCATTTAAACATTAATGATGTATTTTGGCTGTGTTCCATAATAACTTTTTAAGTAATTAATCAAAACGCTAAAAACTATTTTTTATATTGTGATAATATAACGTTTAAATAGCTTAGTTAATGTAGCTTTTATAAAATATTAGTCCGGTAATAATTCTTGTATTATGAAAAGCTATTCAAACAGCTACTAGATATTCAAATAGTTAGATGCTATTAAAACAGATAACAACTATCAAAACAAATAATTTTTTCGAACAGATCTTTAGAGAATTTTTTGTCTTAATTTTGATATTTGAATAAAAAAGTATATATATATTATTTTGATATATATTTTTAATATTATTTTATTGAGTTCAATTATTTGTTAAATATTCTAATATGAATTAAAATATAACATTTGAATTTAGCAAATAAGAACAACCAAGCAATATTATAAAATAAATTCATTATTTATTCATTAATTAATTGAATTTTATTTATAAAATTCAAATTATAGAATTCAAAAACAAGAGTATCAACCACAAGTCCAGACGCAGTGACAAGAATATTTTGTTGTTACTGTATCTTCAATGCATATCCCACCAAATTGGTAGTGCCTTTCAAAGCATTTTCTGCCACAATCATTAAGCGTACAACCAGTTGGATATAGCTTTTCTTCGCATCTTTTCTCCCCATTTGCTTCTGCCTCCATTGATGCAACTGCAACTGCAACAAGATTACACTTTTAAATTTACATTACAAATAAAAATTCTTAACATTATATTATTTTATACTATTTTTTTCTTCTAACGAAAGTTTTTTGAGGTCTTGTTTCTTTTTTAATATGTGCTTTCGGAGTAAAATTCAAATAAAATCTACCAACAATAGTGACTTCAGATTTTAAATTTCCCGAAGTAAAGTTCGTCTGGAGATACAGTCTACTTTTGTTAATTCTACTGCCAAATTAATAAAGTTGTGGTTTTTTTAAAAGTTCATAGAATATAAAAAATGAGATTCAAAAGAAATAATTTTATAATATTAACTGTGAAGAAAACCTGAGAAAATAAGGAAAAGGATGAAGAATTGGCTGAAGGAAAGAAAGGCCATCTCAAACTTCTTCTACTGCCTATGTTTCTTTCTTGTAGCATCAAGCATATTATATGGTGCTAATCTCAATTATGAACATTGTTGTAAATAGTAAGAAAATCTCTAAAATACATAAATGTGGATTTTTTTTTTTTAATTTTAAAGAAAATTGTCTATATATTGGATTAGAAGTAATATGCATTTATAATTATGTTTAATGTAAGGTGAAATGTAATATTGAATTTTTGTGTCAAGGAGAGAAAATAATGAAAGCTTTCAAATACAAAATTGAAAACATAATCTAATCTGAGATAGGTTCATTTCGAGTATAAAATTGGATTATGATATTTCACTAACTGATCTTATCCTTTAATACAATTAATAATAAAGACAACCTTGTATAATTCAGTTTTTGTATTCATGTTAGAGACTATTACATTTGTGAAAAACTATGAGGAGTGAATCAAATATTAAGATGCATTTGAGTTCGGCCAACAATTGATACAATGTTAGAGATTCGATCCATGAAAAGAACAGTAATAAAAAGGGACAACCGGAATGTAAGTGAGTCGAGTCGAATTTGAAACTCGGTTTGATAGAATTTTAGCTCAGTTTAAGCTTGACTTATGGCTTGAATTTAACTTTAAGGTCAAAAATTTGAAGCTTGAATGAGCCTAAAATAAATATTATACATATGAAAATATAAAAACTTGACGAACTTTTGAGTTAAATATTATTAAGCTCAAGCTTGACTCATTTAGCAAATGAGTTGGTTCAAGCTCGAACTCAATTAAAGTTGAACCCCAACAACTCACGAGCTGGCTCAGCTCATTTACACCTCTAGCCACAAAATCTAAAATGACATTAGATGGAGATATTTGTGGGAAAAAAAAAAAAAAAAAAAAAAATTCTAAATGACATTAAGGATGGAGATAGTTGTGGGAAAAAAAAAAAAAAAAAAGTTATGAAGAAAAAAAAAAAAAAAAAAAAAAGTTATGAAAGGAAATATGGATAATAGTTAATAAGATTTGGAAATATCCGTGGAAAAAAAAAACACAAAACAAAAAGAAAAAAAAAAAAAAGAGTTGTAAAAGAGAGATGAATCAGTAGTTAGATTATTATTCGACAATAGCTTTTCATGTAATTTTTAGTATTATTTACTAAGTTAAAGTATTATTTTTATTATTTACCGTAGCGTTGGATGGCATTGCGTTTATACAGTTGAGAAAAGAACTGCATAAGGGTGGAATCCATTGAGACTTATCTAACATTTGAACAAAAGGTTAATAAGTATTCCATTCTTATATGCTATTGTCTATTTGGTAATTTATTCGATATGTAATTCTAACTTTATTAAATAAGAAAATAAATAAATATTCCACTCATTTCTAATCATGAAATCAAATTAGCAAATTTCTACTCAGGAGATGCTACTTTGTTATGACTCGTTTGGATAGCCGCTCATTGCTGAACAAATGGTCTGGTAAAATTCCACCTAAAAGTACTTCTCTAATAATTAAAAAAAAATGTAAAAAATGTAAACAAAATCACACTTATTAATTTTTTATTGAATGATTGAAAATTGTGTAAATATGCTAATTTCACAAATTAAATTGTTAATAATTTCACAAATTAAATTGTTAATAATTTTACAAACTTAAGCATTTAATTGGTCAAATTAAAAGTTAATAATGTTATTTTTCATAATTGAAATAAAAAATCTGAATAATCCCGAATAGAAAAAGTGTCCGTGTGAGGACTTCCGTCTTTCACTTTTAATTTTGAATATAAAAAATGTCAGAACTAAAAGTTCAGAATTTGTTATATTTTGAAATTTTTATTTTGGTTCGATTATTGGAATTATTGAAATAAGTATGATTTGGTTTCAAATTCAATTATATATATTTAGAATTTTAACCTGTTTATCGAACTCATTTAATAAACAAATAACTGAAACGAATTTTTTTTTGGTTAACTGTAAATTGTAAACACCACTAAATAAAAAAGAATAACCAAGGAAATATTATAAACTAAATCTTTATTCATTATTTTTTGAAACAAAGTATTTGATTGATTAACTGAATATTGAAATAATCAATTACAGAGTTTAATTACAAACACAACTATAGACCACATATCCAAATACAGTAACAAGCAGATTGTTTTGTATTTGGATTTACAATGCACATTGAATCCTTTTGCTGGTGTCTGGCAAAGCATTTTTGAGAACAGTCATCCTGTGTACAGCCACTTGGATATATTTTTTCTACACATACTCTCGCTGCATTTGCTTCTTCTGCCACCATTGATGTAACTGCAACAACACAATTCTTTTAGATTATACTAAAGATTTATATATTTTTTTTTTTGGCTATAACCATCTGATATTTAAAACCTACTGGTACGACTAATCTATATTCGCGCAAGACAAACCAATAAAGGGATATAAAACGCTTCCTTCTAGGTGTTTAAAGGAACTCAACATCCAAAGTTCGAACTCAAGATCTTTGGTTAAAGGAGGAAGTATCACTATTATCTCATCTCACCCTTTTGGGAGTATTTTGTGCTATTCTTTAAAAATAAAGAATTTTGATATCTTTTAGAATTTTATAATTAAATGTATAAAATGATAAAGAGAATTGTGAAGAAAACCTGAAAAAATGAGGAAAAGGATGAAGAATTTGTGTAAGCAAAGGTTGGCCATCTCAAACTTCTTCTTCTGGCCGTGTCTATTCTTTCTAATTTGTATTGGCATGATTTTGCATCAAGAATATTATATATAATGCAAGAATCATTTATGATCATTATTCTATATATGGCAAGAAATCTCTAAAGCAATGGAAAATATATATGTATGATTCCTTTTTTTTATCATTCATTATGAGGCTTAATGAGTCGAAATAATACTGTGGGTTATATACAGGGATAGCCCTCCCCTTGACGGTCGAGATAAACTCAAATTCATAACTGAAAACATAATCTGACATATATTGTATAAATGAGAATCACAAATTAGATTATGATTTTTGATCCTTAATACAGTTAATAAAGCCATTTTCAAAAAAAAAAAAAAAAATACAATTAACAAAGGAAATCTTGTATGATTCAATTTTTCTTTTCATGATATAGGGCTACTATATAAAGTCAATAAGATAAACAAGAAGGAAATAATACAAATTATTAGGGGAAAAAAACAATTAGGTGCGAGTGTATTTTTCTAATCAATTGCAATCCATTTATGCTCTTTCCAAAAATAAAAAAAAATGCAATCCATTTATTAGGTCTTGTGAATTTAGCGATTAGAATATGTTATTGTGGAAATTGCAAATGAGAATTTGTGCAACTAATATATTAATGATTGTTTTAAAGCATCATTTATAATTTTAGTTTTTTTTTTTTTTTTACTTTTTGCTAAAATTTATGAGCATATAATTAATTTTATAGGTGTTTTTTTTTCAAAAAAAAAAATCCTTTCAATGTGTTATATGGTTTGCTAATATAAAGTGTTGTACCATAATCTTATATTTTGTATATTTCTTGTGAGTTTTATTTTCTATTTCATATCAAATAAAAAATTTTCTAATATATTTCTTAATAAATAATAATAAATAAAATAATATAAAATTTATTTATTATTTTAAACATAATTATTTGTAGGAAATAATTATAGCCAATCAAATTAAAGAATTATTAAAAATTAATCAATTAATATATTTATTATCCTTCATATTTAATATGTATCTTGATTAATATAATATTAACCTATCTTTATTTTTAACAATATAATTAAAATCCTTATCGAATTATATTCTTACCATATTTTATCTATATCAATAATTATTACCATATTATTTTATTACCATATGATATGCATAGATTTATATTACCTGATCTATATATATATTACACTACTAGTATTACCATATAATGTTCTATATTACTATAGTTTAATATATACATTATGATACTTATTTAATATTATAATATGTATCTTATATAATATAATATAACCTATCTTTATTTTTTTAACCAATATAATTAAAATCCTTATCGATATTATATTCTTACCATATTTTATATATATCAAATATTATTACCATATTATATTATATTACCATATGATATGCATAGATTATATTACCATGTAATATATATATTATTACACATACTAGTATTACCATATAAATGTATATATTACTATATTTAATATATACATTATATACCTTATTTAATATTATATTATATGGTTTCAATTTTAAAAATGTCGATTCCAATTATAAGAAAGGTATAACCAAATATTATTATAATATTTTATATACCTTATACATTTAATTTGTTATTTTTATCCAATAAAATTTAAAGTTAAATAACAAATTAATACGATCAATCAAAATTAAATTACTTTTATTTTTTCAACCAATCAAACTAAAATCCTTAATGATATTTTTGCTAATTGATAAACTTAATATGAACATTTTTGGCAATTCTAATATTTCCTCACACATTCTCACTTTTATTTATTATACAACTCACAATGTTATTTTAGCTTATTTGACAAAACAAAAATTAAATATAAACCTTTTAACAATTCCACCCTCATCCTATTTATAATAAAATAGAATGTGAAAATTAGAAAAGACTTGCGTACGCGAGGTGCTAGACTTATTTATATACCAAATCAATTACATATAAGGTGTTAGTTTAAACGATAATATTTTTAATCATATTAGATAAAAAAAAAAAGATAAAGCAGTAATATTTAAAAAAAAAAAGAATGAATTTTTAATCAACTATACACTGAATGTACACAAATCTCATAGAAGACACGTCATATTTATATATCATGGGAAAGGCATGGGAAGCTACAAAACACAGCCAATTCTCTTATCACTTTCAACTGGGTCCCTCCATGAGGAAAAATTTTGGTAAAGTTTCCAACTTGCAAAACCCATGCAGTGCTTTTCCACTACTATTTATATTGTGAGCAAAAGAAGCTTCCCCTCTTTCAGGAATATACACGTGGAACAATACAACACTCAAAAAATTCAAGTCCTTGTATTAAAGAAATTTGCTTAAAGTCATATGTGATATAATTGATCTTTCAACATATTAAAAAATATATAAAAAATAAAAAATCTCGAGTTTAAATTCTCTGTATTATAAAAATTATCATTAATTTAATGAATATTATTCAAAAGAAAGTATTACATCTGCTATATAGTCCATACATATGTTCTCTGTTTTCTCGGTTCATCGAGCTTTTATGTATTAAAAAAATAATTATACAAGATAGAAAGAAAGAGAGAGATTTCTTTATACATTGGCCCACTGGAGGAAGCCCGCTTGTAATTAAAACATAATAGAGAGGTCCCTTTCAATAGCCAATTTGAGGCCCTACTCAAGCATGTTATGATGTCTACTGCAATGAATATGCTTCTATACTTCAAAATTTGTGATATGGTTTAAAATTTGTAATATGATTCTATACTTCAAAATAAAGGAGTAAAGAACAAATATAGACAGCTTAGCATAAAGAAATTGACAATCAGCTGATGAAACCCTGTCATTAAAGAATCTCGGCCAACCAGAAACGTGAATAGGAGTCCCACCCCATGACTTTATGACCAGAGCAGACTGTACTTTAGAAAAAATCCCCACCTAGAAGACAAGTAGGCCAGTCTCAAAGCCAATCATAAGCTGCAATACTCTATTATGGAGCCTGATATTAAGATTTGAGTTTAAATATTGGAAGGATCTTTCCTTCCACCCCAAACACAACACTGAAAAGTCACATCAAAGATACAACTCTTCTATTGTATCTTTGTAAAGGCAAAACTTTTTTCTTTTCAATGATCCCAAAAAATTAAAAATTTCAGTTCTTTTATAAGCAAAAATTGACTAGAAGTACAAAAGATGGCCATAAAAACACAGAAAATGTTGTCTTGAAGCATTTCAACAGACCAATAAAAAGCTAAATCTTATACTAAACGAGTTTGTAACCAATACAAATAATCTTGGTAGTACATTAGGTTGATCCTGATATACTTCCATTTGCCGCATGAATCATAAATGAATCTCTCATTGCCCATTAAGGAAAATAGCAATTGTTCAAATGGCTAATCCAAGTCATCTCCTTTGTAAGACAAAGCAAAGAATGAGTTTCTAAAAAAAGGAAATGACAAGAACCAAGAAATGTGATTATTTGGCAAATTCACATCTAGAGGAGCATTGTCACCATTTCATTCCCTTTCTTTGTTATATAAGAAAATATTGAATAAAATTAATAACTTGACGAACCAAGTTAGTAATCAATATGTGCTCCAATCGTTAGCTCAAGTGATTGATTTCATTCAATCCATCTGAAAATGAGTCAATGGCATATACGTCAAGTCCTCTTGTCCTTCCAGGTGCCCCTCCCTTGAGTGAGGATACATCCAAGACAATCCTGCTCGTTCCACATTAAGAATCAAACCATTTAATCACCCAATTGGGTAGGGCATAATAAATTTGAACCAAGAAATAAAAAATTGTCAAATTAATTGTTTCAAAAAGGAAATCCAAACAATGAAACTCACAAGCTCTTTGATGCTCTCTCTAGTTCCGGTGTTACGATGATTTTATTATCAATTTTTGATACTGAATGTTCGGCAGGCAGATTAATCCCTTGCGATGCTGGATTAACATATTAAGATATTAACCACATTCTCTACAGCATGAAAGAATCAACATTATATAAACAACAGCACGTGAAAAAAAAAAACTAGAAATCTTACATGATTTCTGGATAGCTACTGTAGTTCCATCAAGTCCCAGAAGTTTCTACACCAAATCAGTGGGACCATCAGAACATAAAGAACTTATTCAAACTTAGACTAGGAACTGTAAGCAACAGAATATACCTTGAGCTTCTCATAACAATCCTCAAGTTTATCATTATGCAAAATATGATCAAAGATGCCTGATGATTGTCCTTCTTCAATCTCTATCTTAGCAGTTCGGAGTCGCTTAAGAACCTGTTCTTCTGCCTCAGTCCCCCTATTGACAGATTTTAGATCAGATAGAGCATAATACTACACACACACGCACACACACACACACACCCACTCACTCAATCTCTCTCTCTCTCTCTCTCTCTCTCTCTCTCTCTCCCCCCTATATATATATATATATATATATATATATAACTATATTTAGTCGTTCATGGAAAGTTTTCACTCACCTTGCCACGAACGTCGGCCTTCTCGAAGGCTCTTCCATGAATATATTAGTCTTCAATGGAAAGTTTTCACTCACCTTGCACGAAGTCGCTTCTCGAGCTCTTCCATTGAGGGTGGACAGATAAAGATAAAAATTGCTTCCAGAGAGCTAGCTCTCACAGATCTTGCCCCTTGAACATCAATGTCAAGAATGCATCTCTGCAGCCCAAATAAAAATGACAATGACATGGACCGATGAGCTTCAACCAACAAAAGGACACTTGAAGTTCACAGATTTAAATAACTTGACTTAGTTGAGAACGACTGTCTAGTGAGAAAAGGCCCTTTTCCATGTCCGCATTGAAAAGGTTTTTCTAATAGTTAATATACACATATATTAGTCCCAAATGTCACAAAACATTCAACTGAATTATGCATGTTAGAGTTGAGGTTAAGTATTTTCCTGCTTGAATTGGAAGCATTAAAGATAGATAGTTTACATTGTTCTATAGCTTAAAATGATCATTCTTCTATAACAACATATGTTCTCTCTAAGTTCAAATACATAATAAAAGAGGAAGGGAGCAGATTTTACCTTCCCTGAATCTGCGACCACCTCAACAGCTTCAATACTGGTCCCATAGAGGTTTCCAAAAACAGAAGCAAACTCAAGAAATTTCCCATCTTTTATCTCTTCCTCCATAACACTTCTCTCAATGAAATGATAGTGTACTCCATCCTTTTCCATAGCCCTTGGAGCACGAGTTGTGTGGCTTACAGAAAATCCAAACATGGAGGGGAATTCTTTCATGAGCATTGATATTAATGTTCCCTTACCTACTCCAGATGGACCGCTTATGACAACTGGCTTCTCAGCATTTCCACTCACACCCTTACTCCAGGCAACAACCTCTCTCCCCAGATTTTTTTTCTGCTCCCTAACATAATGAGTGTCCATCTGCAAAAATTGAAATTTAGATAACGTAAGCAGTAAACTAATTAATACTCCATCATTGTTTTTGTTCTTCTAACATATGAAATAAATTTATTTAAAAGATTTGTGAAAATTAAAAATGAAAGATAAATGCAATTTTAGTTTCCTTGATTAAATCTTTAGAAGTTTGGGCTCTAAAATACAAACCTCAAGAAACCAAATACAGTCATCTGGTGTTGATCCCTTCTTAATAATCAAAATTCGATCATCATTCAATGATACAGCCGTGTAACTTTTACATGGCTTTGGTTTTGTTCCCAGCACTGTTGGAATTTCCCTAACAAAGTAAATTTGACCACAAGTTAGTAATCCAGTTCTTAACACTCCAACCCAAATAAATCAACTATCATTGGAAGAGCTATAAGCTCACCAATTCCCAGTAGCTTTATCAAAAATTCGAACTCCAACAGATAATGGGGATTCATCATCATTACCACCAATCACATACTACCCAAATACATATCAAAATTAGTAATGAGATAGAACGGATTAATCACCAAATACAAAAATGGATATTTAGAGAAAAAACCAAATCAATGTATCTAGTATTCATACTGTTTTATCTCGGATACTAATGGTTGTTTCACAGTCCTTAGATTTTGAACCAAATCCATTACTCTGATATCCATTCTGCAGATCATCAGCAACGAAAGCTGGGGCCTCTCCCTAATGACCAAAACAACATCCAATCATTAGATCATAATAAACAACTTCAATAATCCATATCTACATGCAATTACTATACAGCATTTTATCAGGTTTTGGTTATTTTTAATCCAACAAGTAAAAGTAATAAATAATTAAGAGCTCACCATGGAGAAACTATGCTCCAATACAAGATTAACCCTGATCAATAAACATGGAAAGAGAATAGATCAAATCAAAAGATTCATATTTCTTGATCTATCATTACAGGCATAATCACTAACTTGAAGGGACAAACTTGAGAAAAACAAAAACGAGAAATAGACCACACAAGACATACACCACAAAATGCAAGAAACTTCCAAAAAATGAGAGGAAGAAAATGAAAATTAACTCAAAACCCAGATTCCCATCTAGTCTTCTAAATGAAAAACAAACATTCAGTCAAAACTACCCCTAATAAAGAAAATTAAAATTAAAAAAAGGATATAAATATGGAATACAGAACATTTATTGTCGCTTTTCCCCTAAAATCTCAAAACACACAAGTGTAAAACATTAAAAACAGAACAACAATCAAGAGAAGGAGAGGCGCAGAAGTCAACTAACTAACAAGAGATGCAAGGATTAAAAGAGTAAATGACAGGGGGAAAAAAGAGGAAAACCCACCTGAATATAAACTAAAATCTACAGATCAAGCCATTGAAACCAATGAAAAATGCAAAATAGAGCCTAAGAAAAGCAAAAAGTTGAGACTCATGTATTTACCTGTATGTATAAGCAGAAAATTGTCTGAAAAATACAAGCTCTTGATGTTTAGAATGATGCTATTTAATAAAGGGAAGAGTCAATTTCTGTTCTTTTTGAAGGCTAAGCCTTTGTATTGGTATTTTGTCAAATCAAAACAAACTTGGGATACAGGAAGAAGCTGTGAGACAATAGGAGAAGGCCTTTCTCATATTTGTAGGCGAAAGAGAGATTTAGAGAGAGAAAAAAAGGTTTTAGAGAGAGAAAAGGGCTGGGGTGGTGGCTTGGCTTTCTTTGCTTTTGGGTCGCATTTAATTTACGCAACAACAAGACCGGCTCTGATTTTCTTGACTCGTGTGAGGTGCCCAAGAAGCTTCTTGTTCTTTCTTTTTCGTGTAATTACCATTTAATCCCTATATTTAGGTCAAATATGCTAGCTAGGACCTTAATTTTCCATATTATGTTATATAGTCCCTCAGTTTTGATTTTGTTACACTAGTTAGGAAATCGGTCAAAATTAAGGGATTTTCTAGTGGTAAAAAAAGTAAAATAAAAAATAGAAAAAGTAACAACAAATTAAAATAAAAAAAATTAAGGGATTTTAATTTTTTGTTAAAATTAAAATTAAGGGATTTTCTATCAGTAAAAAAATTAAAATAAAAATAGAAAAGTAACAAAAAAAACAGAAAATTGGCAAGACAAAAATGCCCTTAAAAGAAAAAAAAAAAAAAAAATTCAACTACTTCAATCTCTTTCCAATCGCTATGGATTGCTAGAGGAGTATACGGGAAATAATTTATGAGGAAAAGCCTCTGACGGAGAGAGTTGAATCGAATAGGGATTTGTCTTTAAAGATAATTGAAAAATTGAACGATGAAAACTTTTTAAATCTAGCGGGGTTGAGCATTCAGTTATTCAAATCGAACCAAATAGAACTTACTCGAATTTTGCTTATCCAAATATATTTTTATAGTATCCGAATCGAATTAAATCAGTTTGATTCTATTTAGATTCGGTTATTCAAAATCAAATTAATTATTTTGAGTTTAAAAATAAATTCAGTTATATATACACATACATACGATAACCGAACCAAAAATTAAAAATCAAATAGTTTTTTATACTAAATTCAATCGGTAACCGAATTTCTAAAATAACTATCCGAATGAGTCAATTTGATTCCGTTCGTGGCTAGAAACCGAGAATTGCACCCTTGTTGGATCCAAATTTCAGGCAATCTACAAATGCTTTAGATTAAGGGTGGCCACGGTTCCGGAACCAAACCGAAAATTTTTGGTTCCGGTTCCGATTCCGGTACGGTGTCAAAATCGACGGTTCCATTTTAATTTTACGCCGCCGAACTTTCAGACAAGACTCCCGGGACTTTAATAGATTCAATTTCGTGTTGACTGTCTGTGATAGACCAGCAAGAACTAGCCTCCACATAGAAGCTTCCCTAAACAATCTTTGTATATTCTTTTGTTCGTTTCTTTCGTGCCTATGGTCCAATAAAATTACTCTCATTTCTCTTAATCTCAACCCCTCTCCCATATTTATAGAGCTTCTGAAATTAACCTTATTGCCCAATATGTGCCAATAGTTGACTCTAAAAATTACCATTACTTTTCCCCAATGTCCAATTTATATTTGTTTTGATGATTAAAATAAGTCCCCTCTAGTTTAACTTTCGATTTGTTACCTACTTTAGTTATAGGAAATATAATAAACGGTTGTACATTACGAATTATAGTAGGACTATTGCTTTCTAGGGTTAAAAAAAAAGTAACCCGGAGATAAAAAAAAATTTAAAGATCCCAAAATTAATCCGTAGTGTAAATTAAGAATGCCCAACACAAATCATAAAAAGTAATATACCAATAGAATAAAAAAATAAATTAGAGGTGGTGAAATTTTAAAAAGTGAATTGTGTTGTTAATTTGAATTAAATAAATAAAAATTACCTAAGCCGATTTGGCGTCTGTATCTAGTGTCCATAATAGCCCAACATTAAAATAAAATTATAATTTTAGCCAGAAAAATAATCTGGCCTTAAGTAGTCAAACAAAAAATATAACCAGAAAAATAATTGGCAATGAATACAAAAAAATAAGTCCCTTTAGATAGGAAATAAAAAGACCAACTATAAATAAAAATACCAAAACAGTTCAACTTATCCCTTGCAAATCTCTATATCTCAAATCGCAATATAAGGATTTGCGTTAGAAAGGTCAGTTAATAAAAGCCGCGGGGAAATTAATTCCCTGATTATGAGGAAAAAGGCCAATCCGCGTGCCCACGGAGAGCAGTTGAAAATTAACATTCGTAGATTAAAGGGAATTCCTTTTGTGGCAATTTTAATAAAAGAGTAAGCCCTTGAAACATAAAAATTGAAAACGAAATGGAAACCCGACATCCATTTTTTATTGAAGGGTCTAAAAAGCAGCCGTAGATTGCCCTAAAGAAACAACAACATTTTGGCCTCCTCCGGAGCATTAACCAAAAGATGGCCCTATATTACAAAAAATCAACTCGAACCATACTTCCCAAGACGAACAAATAGCCGCCTAAACTATTAATTTCTCAACAGCATATTTATAGCCCCTAAAAACCGTTTAATGCGATTTTTTCGCAAACTATTATTAAATTATAATTCAAATACCATAGCTTTTTCCGTGATTAGTCGAATTAAATCAGTTCTGGCCCATAAGCTATAAATTTTAGATTGTGCCGCCTCTGAAAAATATTCATTTACTCGAAACTACATAATTAAATTATTTTTTGGCGGACCAAAAGTCTGCTAAAACCAAAATAATTCAGTTTATAATATTCAATGACACCACTCATTTACATAGGCCTAAACGACACAAAAACCATGTGCCGACCCATCAACAAAATCAAAAAATACATTTATATTGAAGGCATAAAGAGCCTCACCCTAATAGTTTTAATATATATCTCCCAACTACCGAACCCATATTCAGGGCTCGGACAAGATCGGGTTAACCGACAACCATTTTGCGCCGAAACCCCAAAATGACTCTCCTCCTTTAAAAAACCCAAATACCAACTTTATTTTTCCGAAGCTGAGCTGCAATTTTGAATTCACACGCCTTAATCGGAATTAAATGCGATTTGCTTTCGGCAGTAAGAGACTCGCTCATAAAACAAAACCATGCAACAGAAGACAAATAAGCCAACAACACCTCATGGCAATTTAAGGCATGAACCAACCCTCCGCAAGCCCCATTCATAAGTAATGGCGCCCTTGTGCGCATTCCATCAATTCATGGCCAATCTGTTAAACAAATAAATGCCTTGTAGTTGGAGGACTATTTTTGTAAGGCTGTCTTCCAGGCCATCTCGGCAAAATTCCTCGCCAAGAACGAAAGCCATAACCGTAGGCGGCCGCCCAAGATATTTCCTGGGTGAAATATTGTTTGCACCCTCTCGCCGGTTCCCGGAGTTTGTCCCAGAGGTTCCGGAAATCACCTCCAATAACATTTACCACTTAATCGGTGATTCCAATTAACCTAATTGTCCCAAGACAAGCGCTCCCAGCGTTTTCGACGTCTTAGTTTATCCAGCATGACAATAAGTCCTCCCGGGAAATCCTCGGGTCTCGACTGCCAGGAATTTCCTGATGCGCTGTTATATTCAAGGCTACAAATTTGTGGGCATTAATTTTGGAAATGTTAATAAAATTTTTTAAAGGAACAACGTTTACTTCAAAATCTTATTAAATAGTAAAAATAAAAGTTTGTTGTTGTGAAATGAAATAATTTAATTTGTTAAAAAAAATTACTACCTGAAAGAGAGAAAATTAAATAAACACATCTAGGCTGGTCAGAATTAAATATTTATTTCTTTTTTAGAATTAAAGACTTGAACCTTAATTATTTTTAAAAATATAATAATCAATTCTAAAACTTTAAGAAAAATCTCTATTTAATAATTTGTTTTAAAAAAGGTTTTGAAACATAATTTTTAAAAAAAAAAGGGCTTGAACTTAATTTTAAAAAAAAATAAATAAATAAGTTGCCTACGTATCCTCTTTGGGGGTTTAGAGGGAATTAAAGGCCCACGGTAGTTTTCTTAATTACCTTATACCAATTTCCACCTCTTTTAACCTTATTCGCTATTGTGTACCACGGTTGATGTTCCCGGTGAGCGACCCATCGTATTAGAATAAATTCATATAAATCTTCAGTTTTCTCGGTTTAGGATTCTTCTTGCGTGTAACTCTTACGTTCTCGCCCGGCACCCACCATATATCATCTCACAATCCCATGCCACGTGTCAATTTCCTTCTCATCATCAAATTAGATTGTGTCGTGCTCTATTACAGGGAACATCGTGCCTATGGAACATTTGGAGGTAGGCGTTCTTACACAAACATTTATAACACCAGAGATTTCGTCATTGCTTAACTTATCAATTCAAGGTAAATTGTTTAAATCCCCCATAATGAACTCCTCACAAAAGCTGTTAACATGCGCGCACACACAAAATGGAGACCGGAAAGCCGCATAGCTGCCCTACAAACATTCTATTTTTGCAAATTTGACAACCAAGAAACCCAAATATAATGGGAACAATTACCAACCACTACATAATGCTATAGCGTTCGAACAGAAGGCGCTATCTAACTTAATCTCAAACATCCCTTTGGCCGAAACCAAAAAATTGTAGTATATAAACCCTAAAGCCCACAACTTTCTTAATGACAAACCCAAAACACACCCAAAACATCAGGCAAAGATAAGTCACCCAGGATTAAAAGATATAGACTTATCAAAGATTGCAAGATATATTAACACACCGAAACCTCTGAAATTACCCTTTAGGTCTTATCTCAGAGGCATCTTTTGGCTAGTACAAAAACCCCCTTTTTCAGGAGTTCCCTTCCCAAAGAAGGCCTATCGAAAACTAGTTGATTTGGAATCTTCACGCGCCAACAATCCTCCAAATACCCGGAACCACTTACAAAACTTTTGTAGTCTTAAGGCAAATGTGAGGCTTTTGAATAAACCTGTGGAGCATTTCGCAGGAATAGTATCACCGTGTAGATAGGATTGGAATGTAGAAAATTGCAAACAAAGTTCATTTATATAATTGCCATAATTATTTTTTGTTGTAACTTCATTGCAATACTACATTTATATTAACAGTTATCCCCTATATCAAGATTAATACTTCATAATAAATAGTCAATATTCACATTAAAAACATCAATTTTACATCTAGGATCAAATACAATAAGACCAAACAAGAAAAGGGTGGTATATTTTTAAAATAAGGTGATAATCATT